CTGCTGGATTCCTAGCCTCCAGGCACACGCTTACCATTGGTATGAACATAAATACACAATCCTACTTTTCAGCAGCTATTACATATATCATTTCTCATACTATCATGAAAGTTTTCAGACAATTTAATTATACTATCACCAGGCAGAGGTAAAGAAATAGACATATGTGAGTGTACTGTAAGCTATTCCTAGCAAATTCCTTGCAGGACATCACTTGGAGTGACAGATTTTGTACTCCAGTTCCACCAAAATGCACTTTACAGTTGCTCTCCAAAGCAAGACCCGTGTCACTCAGATCAGGTCACTTAGAGCCCATCTCCCAGGATCATGTCAGAGCGGTTTGTGGAGCTCGAAGGACCTCCCTTGGGCAACCTGGAACACCTCCTAGTAAAGAGGACTTTTTTTTTTTTTCTTTCCTGATGCTTAAGCAAAACTTCTTATATTTCAGTTTATGGCCATTGCCTCTTGTTTGATCGCCGAATTCCCCCAAGAAGAGACCTTTGTATTAGACTATTTACAAGGGCAACAAAGCTAGCAGGTAACAAAGACCAGCTACAGATAATCTAAATGAAGGTTTCATTTACAGTTTTCACTAAAACACCGCTTCCCTTTTTTTGACTGCTTTATCTAAGAGATAACATGACAAAGCAAGGACCATCATCCTGGTCCCTTCATAGAAGCCAGCAGTATTTCTCAATCTGCAGCTTGTGCAGGAGGTTTCCATGGCATAAACACAAGTCCTGCCTCCTCCATCTCAGATGCTGACAAATCAAATTCCATTTTGCACTTTCTCCTCCTTCCTCTTCCTCTCTTATTACAAGGTTGCATGATTCTGCTGCTATTCATGCCTGGACTCATCTGTAAGTGAATACAGGGGAACTGAGCGTGAGCACAACTAAAGTTAGTGACTAATAGCAAGCCTCTAATTTTGCACAGATCATGGCTACACCCTCCAACATGTTCATCTTTCCCCTAGACTGCAGTTTCTATTTTTGCAGGTGGATCATATTTTCAGAAAACAGAAAACTAACCTGGTTTCAGCTCGATGCCGCTTAGAGAGTAACCTACCATCTTCATTGCTCTCACAAACCAACCACCTGGAAAGCAATTCCTCTCACCCACTTGTACTTAGGTCTGCTTTCTCAGACTCCAAAAACAGCACAGGTCTAGCCCATCTCACCACAAACACTCAGCAATCATATTTCAGCAACCTTTTTTGTCCTACCCAACTCACTTCCCTTTCTACTATCAAGGCCCACCAAAACACCACATGCATATTTAGAGCTACTCGGTTCCCCTTTGGTTTTCCCCTGAAGCCCCAATCTTTGTGGTTATCGCATGATGGGAAAAACTGCCGACCACTAAGTGCTGGAATCAGCTTTCTCCTCTCTAGTGGGCTCCCTCTCTCCAACCATCAGCCTTTTTCTGCCTACAGAATGGAAAAGCAACGTGGTCATAATGTATTATCAACCCACCCTTCCCTCATTCACACCTGACCAGATATGGCAGGATAATGCACATCACTCCTACCTGCCACGGCAAAACCATGGCAATTCGACCTGGAATACTCATTGGAAACATATGGTTGGGGTTGGAAGGGCCCTCTAGAGCTCATCTAGGCCAAAACCCCTGCTCAAGCAGGCCGCCCTGGAGCCTGTCCAGGTGGCTTCCAAAGATCTCCAAGGATTAAGAGCCCACAGCCTCCCTGGGGAGCCTGCTCCAGTGCTAAGTCACCCTCACACTCAAGACTTTTGCGTAGCACAGAATCCCAGAATGGTTAAGGTTGGAAGGGACCGCTAGAGATCATCTATCCCAGCCCCTGCTCCAGCAGGGACACCCAGAGCACAGGACACAGGGTGGCATCCAGGCAGGTTTGGAAGATCTCCAGAGAAGGAGCCTCCACAGCCTCTTATGTTCACACAAAGGTCCTGTATTTCAGTTTGTTCCCATTGCCTCTTGTCCTATCACCAGGCACCGGGAAGAGGTCCTCGTCACACCCTCGGTTCAGATACTCACACACATCCGGATGAGCTCCCTCTCCCCTCACTTTTCTCCAGGTTGAATAGACCGACACTCTCACCTTTTCCTCACGTGAAGAGAAGCTCCAGTCTCTCCATCTTCCCAGTCATCCCATCCTAAAAGACTGGCTATCCACTTAGTCAAGTGTGAGTTCCCTTCAAGAATCCAGGCTAGCTACTCTGGAGCACCCTCTTGTCTTTCATGCATCTGGAAATGGTTGCCAAGAGCAGTTGCTCCATCAGAACAAAACAGCCACAGGTGTCACACTTTTTTTTTTTTTTAAACACACATGCAACTTACTTATGCTAGTAGCAGTCAGAATGTTCCAATACCTCTGACGATCAGCACAAGCTGCGCAGCACCCTGGATGCAGCTGTGATTGATAAATCCCTAACACTCCAGAAAAGGAGGAAAAAAAAAAATATATATATATATATATGTGTGTGTGTGTGTGTGTATGTGTGTGTGTGTATATATATATATATATATATGTATGTATGTGTATATATATATATATGTATGTATAGATATAGATATATATATAATACCTTGTTGCTTTAAAATAACTGTACTCCTTCTGTAGTCTGAAGCTTCCTCCTAATTCCTGAGCTCCTAAATTTCTCATAATTCTGCATAGTAATCAATAAGTTGATAGTAATTGTCTCCTTCATTTTGCAGCTCTTTTGGCCACTATCCGGATATACAACAATGGCAAATTAAGTAATCATTTCTTCAAATATCTGAGTGATGCTAGTAGGCAAACTGTATAAACTTATAAATTTATGAAGCAAAAGATTTCTAAAGTTCATTCATTTCCAATAATTTGGGGAATTGTTGGTAGCGCAGCTACAGCCCGGCCGAGGCGCCAGAGCCGCCGTCGCTGCCTCATGGCGGGCGGGGCCCCGGGGC